CATGGCTGGCTGGGGAATTCTGGGAGTTGAAGTCCACTCATCTTAAAGTGGCCAAGTTTGGACAACACTGATCTAAGGGCTTCTTTTCTTCACCTAATACTTTCGGAAAGCTTCTTGTTTAAACCTCCTTGCTTCTTTGTGCTAATTTTGGGATGTTTCAAAAGGTCCGTATTATTTTTTGTGATAAAGGACCGTTGTCTGGCACATCTGCTTCAGCCCTAGGGCATTTGATTATTCCTGAGGAAAATGAGGCGTCCTCTTTAGCAGGGCATTTTTTGTTATTTTTTACTTTATGTGTGTGAACATGTTTTAACTTGCATGTATGTATACTCTTCCATGGTTGGTGAGAATTAGATTGATGTTGCAGTCCTAGGTCTATACATAAATACACATTTCTTGTCTGCTTTGCCTGAACTTTTCCAAAGGGTGGAATGACCAGTATGCCTTGGAGACAATGGCTGAGGCAGCTTGCAAAGCTCACCTAGTTCATGTTGCTGTACAGAGAGTTTTAGAGCTTGGATTTAGAATCAGTATTTAAAAGCTAATTACTTATTGCATGCATGGTTTTTTTTTTTTAAATAAGGACAAATGAGAGGCTGTTAGAACAATTTTCTAAGTATTTTTTGGACATTTGGGGTGGAGAAGAAAGAACTTATTAAGAATAATTTACTGACATCTTAAATACCTATAAAAGACAATACTGAATTGCCGTTTTCAAGTGGAGGCTATAACACTAACTTGTATTTGGTTACTTTTGTCTTTTAGTATTTAAACAACTAGTAATCCTTTCCTCTTTTAATCACAGAAAACTCTACACATCTTTTCTAGTTTGCAACCAATTAATTTTTTTAAACTGCCCTAAGGACTGTTCAAAAAGCAATGTAGAAATTACATTCTAAGTGTTGTTTTTTTTTAATTTAGACTGATTACTTGAGGATTATATAACAAATAATCCTTTCAGGTGATGAGTGAGCCTAAAAATATCACTTTTCATATTTAGTATATTACTGAATTATTATATCTGAAACTGCAACTAATGAAGAAAGCTACGTGTAGTGACTGCCTACAATTTGTCAGTGACAAATTGTTCTGCAGCTTTTAATTCGGTACTCTTGCTTGCTCTGCAGGTCTGAAGTTTGGCATCCCCTTCCTTTGCAGATCTTTATCATGATTTTGATCTCAGTCGTGTCAAAATTAATTCTTTGCTGAAGTGGAAATTTTCCTTCCATTTGATATTAACCAATTAGGGAAG